GGTAAGTAGCCTATATAAAATTTCTAAATAAATCTATCTATCAGTACTTTTTTTACTTAAGTACATAAAAAATCGAGTACTTTTGTACTTTCACTCAAGAAAAATTGAAGGAGTACTTTTACTGGAGTAATATTTTATCATACGTATCTGTACTTGACTTGTGTACTTCGTCCACCACTGCTAATGGAGACTCCATTTTTCAAAGGAGGATCGATTTGTTACAACAATTTCTGGACAGAACTTGAATAAGCTTTGCAGAAGCAGCTAAGCAGAACAGGAGCTTCACATGTTTTAGAGCTGTTGCTGTTGTCTGAATGAAAGCTCCTGTAATACATAGTTGCATGACATTGTGAGATACATAAATGCTGAAAGGAAACCCCACCCATTTTATAGGAGCATAGATGAATCTGTATTGTTAAAGTGCTGTTGAGCGTATCAGCATGCATTTGTTTGTGGCCTGTACAAGAAAAATGGCAAGTGACATATTAAAAATGGGCTTTTCCATTAGGAAAAGTTTCTTGTAGCTTTCACCACTTACTAACTGATTTGACTTGACATATATCCCTGGACTAGTTTCTGCTTGTGAAGACCTGATGTTGCCCCTTTCTGTGGCCTTCAGCGTTGTGATCAAGTGTTGTTTCCACCCTGACCTACTGTGAAAGGTCTGAGACCGTTATTCTCTCATGTGATTCTGCTGTGACCTCCAACCACCTGAAACTAACATTGGGTTCAACCTACCAAACCTGTTGAGAGTGCATTTTAAAGTTTATGTGTGTCATTGTATGAGGTTAAAATACTTTTTTCCCCAGCTTAATGTCGACAGACAACTGTAAGTAAGCCTTTTATCATTTGATTCCCCCCAAAATCTGTTGGAAAAGTCATTCTTTTTCCAATTGCATTTGTTGGCGTTAATAGAGCCTGCAGACATATTGTAAGTTCTTATTTTTGGTCATTTTGCTAGAAAGTTTTTTTGTTTGCACAGTGAATAGCCGTCACTCTGTCTGATGTTGCTATGATGCGTCATCGTTTTTCTCTCTTACCGTACGTTGTTCACACTTCATAAGTTCCACTTAGTTCCTGTTTGTTCAGTTACTCATAAGAGAGCTGTTGTTCCATATAGGCTCCATATTTAATCACGTGGCGACCACAGGCCACCTTTCTTCCTACATGTGCCATGTTTAATGGTCAAACAAACTCCATGTTTCCCTGCTGCTCTGTCAAGCTTTGATGAAGGTAAATATTAAAAATCAGCCTCCTTCTTGGACAGATGACTAACAGGCCACTTCTTATCACCTGTTCTGGACAGATTAATCATGTATTATACATAAACATCTTAAGACCTGAAATTTATTTGTGCTGCAACATAACAGATATGTTGGACATGTGGGCGACCTACGTTTGAATCCAACATTTTTCAATCCCATTCCTCCTTTCTCTTTCATCATTTTTTTTCATCCTCATAATAAATTAATTAATATTCTTTGACAGGTTTGCCCAAGATTATCTTATACATAAATTCTGCAGTATTCTGCACAGGAGCAGCTGAAGTACCTTCTAATTCAAGGCATTGGTTTTGTAAGTCAAAAGTCAGCCTCGGGTCTAAAATAGAGGCAATATGCCTCACCAAACCACACTTCCTGAGAATGCAGGGGTCTTGAGATGCATTTGTAAAAGTTGTAAAAACTTCTTCTTTTTTTATTTTTTTTTTGACACCGCATTTTAGAAATGTGTCGTTCATGGTATTAGGTACTAAAAAAAAACAGAAATAGGATCATGACTTCTAAAGCTGCTTTTTGTAATGTCTGTTGAATGATTTACTCCTCTAAACAATATAGAGCAAAGGCAGCAAATTAGGAGTTTGTTCAGGGAACTCTCTTGGCTAAAATCATAGAGTTAATAGTGAATATGTGTTCCCTATTCTAAAGTGTTACCCTTATATTATATTATATTATGTTACGTTGAAGTGATTTTAAACATGCAATAAACTGTAAAGGAGAGCTCAATTCGTTGTTCGTGGCTTATTGCGAATATAGTCAAATTCACACAAAAATACATCAAAATTACCATCTTGGCTTATTCACGTTAACACATTAGGTTATGTCTGAAGTCATGTAATGTTGAAATTACTGTAGAGAATTATGACATTTTAGTGGTAACTAAAATTTTAAACCTTATTTCAAGCAAAATTAACTTTACAGGGATTATCGTTAACCTAAAATAACTCATGTCAGGTTTTGGTTAGTATCGCCCTCCTTTGTATTATAAATAATAAAATTAGCACCGCATGCATAATATGTAACGTTTCATTAGTTCTTTTTCGTGTGATTTTCTGGCAGCCACATCATTGCTCGTGTTTGGAGACTAATTGAATTCCACCAGTGAAACCAAGTGAAAGACTTTAACTAGAGAGATTTCTTCAGGGTCATGACATTTTTCTTTTCAAATGCCAGTGTTTCATAGACTGTGTTTCATTTCAACATGGTGTTGAGTATCCTTGTCAAGCATCCTTGCCTGATGGTGTTGAAGCTCATGGTTTATGTCTGTTTCAGATTGGACTGTTTTGTGAGTGAACCTGTGTCGCCATGACAACCCACGTAACCCTGGAGGATGCGCTGTCCAATGTGGACCTGCTGGAGGAGCTTCCCCTCCCAGACCAGCAGCCATGCATCGAACCCCCACCATCCTCCATCATGGGACTTTAAAAGAAGGTATTTCATTATCCTAAGCATGGATATATGTGAATTTCTTAAACGAACGTCCATTGTCAGAACATCTCAAACCACATCAACAGATTTACAACCGTAATGACTATTTAAGGGTCAGGCATGTGAAAGCTGGGCCAGATGTTTTGTGCCATATCAAAACCCCCATCAGTTTCAATTCTGTTTTAGCAGAGGTGTGAGGCAGAGAGCTCAGGACAAACACCTTTTCACAAAGACACCCTTGTTTATGCTTGTTTTGTACAGTTTTGTTTTGTGCTGGATAAAAATGGTATTGAAGCAGCTATACTCCACCTCTTCCTCTCACAGCTCAGTGGCTCATGGATGTGCGTGGACTGTCAAACAGGAGTGCACATTACTCAGTTGAATAGAGAAGTCCTCAAGGACTGGAGGTCTTGTTTGCTTCAGCTACCTTCTGCTAAAGCTATAATGAGCACATAGATGTGGTCTTTGTATGCTGTACATAGGTGGCTGGATGAATGCTGTGGTCTGACTAAACTTGGGTTTAGAAGTAAATACAGCGTTTGCAATGGAAACAATTGCAATCATACCCTCATTCTTTTATTGTCTCTGCTCACTTTTGTACATTTAAATCAACTTGCTTAGCATACAGACTCCATTCAGATGTGTTGTAGATGATTAATTAGTAAGGTTGACTAGTCCATTGGTTCCAGTTACGAGCGACGGGCCACAAGGGGGTCTGGGAAAAAGTTCAGTGAAAAGAATTATAAAAGTAATAATATTATTCCAAAATAATAAAATAATATTCCATACTATTACAATTTCATTCTTCTTTCTATACGCTGGTGGGGAAATCTGAAACGAATCTTTTTCCTCTCAAAAAATGCATTCATAATCCATAATGACATAAAATACAAAAAGAAAATCCAGATATTTTACATATTTATAATATTTTCATTATAAAGATTGCATTTATAATGTTTTATATTTATACCTTTATATTTTAGGTTTATATTTTTTCTTTTTATGTAATCCAGCTGTTAAAAACCGTGTTTTTTCAACATGTAAACTGGCAATATCGTGGTGTTCTGTGAAGCACCTTGAAATAACAGTTTGCAGTTAATATGATTTTTTTTGTGTTTGTGAATATTTTATTTATTTATTTTATCCAGCAATAATGCATTCAATTGATCAAAAGTGACATTTATAATATTACAAACTAAATCCTATTTGACTGTGACGCGAGCATGCACGTAAAATTGTATGTCATGTAAGTCTGAATTTGAACTTAGTTTTTGAGGACTTTAAAAGAAGGTATTTCATTATCCTAAGCATGGATATATGTGAGCTGCAAAAACCTCAAGACTGTCGTTGAGTAGTTGACTGGCCAGTTTTGCAAAGTCTTAATTGTAATACTTGCTGAATGCTGCTAAAATGTAATTGGCAGAAATCCAGGTTACATGATTTATTAATGGAAAGTAGAGCATAATTAGGGTCTCTTAAATCCAGTCTACACTAAATGTATGCAGCATGAAATGACAAAACTGAATTGCCTCCACTATAATCAACAGAACTGTCTAGACATTCTCCCTCTCTTCATCTCTCCCTCTGTCTATAAACAGGCTTACAACTTTTTATATAATCATTGCTGCCTTACGAATGCTGATAATTTCTGTAAGAAACATGGATCTAGTTATTCTACGTAGCAATAATGGTCATTTCCAGCAAATAAGTGTCTGATGGATTGTTGTTTCATGGCATGAGGTCAGAAAAATTATTAGGACATTTATACCGAATTCACAGGAGATTATGTGAGTGATTCCTTTATAGCTGTTGTTCTTTTTCCTCTTTTTCAAACTGTGTTTTTCTTCTCAGAATGAAATGCTGGAGGAGGGGCACGAGTATGCCGTCATGCTGTACACCTGGAGGAGCTGCTCCAGAGCCATTCCTCAGGTACACACACACACACACACACACACACACACACACGTGACATCCGATGCAGTAACTGGTCCGATTTGAGGTGTATTCTCAGTACTCTAGTAAAATCATGCGCAATTTGGCCTACTGGCTCACATATGCTTTTACTATCAGGTAAGTCGTGGTGTAGAAGAAGAACTCAATAAGAATATGCTAGAGTATCATCTATCAAATTACATGCGCATAGATTTATTGAAGTTTGAATGTTGCTGCCAGCATTCAAAAGACTGTGTGCTAAGTCTTGTTTTACATGAATTACACCTGGAGGAGCTGCTCCAGAGCCATTCCTCAGGTACACACACACACACACACACACACACACACACACACACGTGACATCCGATGCAGTAACTGGTCCGATTTGAGGTGTATTCTCAGTACTCTAGTAAAATCATGCACAATTTGGCCTACTGGCTCACATATGCTTTTACTATCAGGTAAGTCGTGGTGTAGAAGAAGAACTCAATAAGAATATGCTAGAGTATCATCTATCAAATTACATGCGCATAGATTTATTGAAGTTTGAATGTTGCTGCCAGCATTCAAAAGACTGTGTGCTAAGTCTTGTTTTACATGAATTTACTTTTTTTTTTAAGATATGCTCTCTGTCTGAAGAGAATCTGAACCCCAAGTTATGATTGAAATGACCCAAGTTCAGCAACATAATTGCCCTGCACTCACTGCAGGGAAAGGACTCATTATTCATGATCTCAGTTCTTAATCCTGACAGTTTAATGACGCCCTCTTGTGCATATCAGGTGAAGTGCAACGAGCAGCCAAACCGAGTGGAGATCTATGAGAAGACCGTGGAGGTGCTGGAGCCTGAGGTCACCAAGCTCATGAAATTCATGTACTTCCAGGTGAGAGAGGAATAAAACTCCTTGAACTCCATTTATTACTTATTAATCCCGAAATGCCATGATTATTCATCAAACAACAATTCTTATAAGAAAAAGGGAGAAACACTCATTGCTCGTTATTTCTTATGTCTTTATTTTTAATTACTTAAAGAAAATAACAAATACTTGAAGGCTACATTCCATTTAATTTCTTAACATTTATATTCATATTTAACTTTTTCAAATAAAGTAGTATATTAAATAAGTTTTTGCTGTGCTTTCAAAATTAGTATCGAGAGTCGTGACATTTTGGTAGTACATGGCTTTAACATTGATATCCCTCCTTCTAGCGCAAGGCCACTGAACGTTTCTGCAGCGAGGTAAAGCGACTGTGTCATGCTGAACGCAGGAAGGACTTTGTGTCCGAGGCCTACCTCCTCACTTTAGGAAAGTTTATCAACATGTTTGCTGTGCTGGACGAACTGAAGAACATGAAGTGCAGTGTAAAAAATGACCACTCTGCTTACAAGAGGTATAAGGGTCAAGTTTACATTTAAAAAAGTTTTTTTTTAATTAAAATACTATAATATATATATACACATACATAGAATATTTATAAAAGTTCTATATTGCTATTTCTTCTTTAAAGAGCGGCTCAATTCCTGAGAAAGATGGCTGACCCACAGTCCATCCAGGAGTCCCAAAACCTCTCTATGTTTTTAGCCAATCACAACAGAATTACACAGGTATGTGTAACTTAAAATATGGTCAAATATACATTCAAGGAATAGTCCACCCATTATAGTCCTCTCTATATTTACTACATTTATTTTATGTAGCTGTTGATGTTCCAATTTTGTATACTGTTATTTTTTCCTGTGGCACACAAGAATTATTTAAATATTTGTTCTGCAGCTCATGCAACTCATTGACAGATTAAAGTAACTAAGGGCTGTCGAGCTCCAATGACTAAAAACACTAAAAAGGAACCATAAAAGTGGTCCATACAACTTCTGTAACCATATGTTAGGCTTGTGTGATAAGCAGCCATAAAATAAAAGTGATTTTTCATGGATAATCTTGTCCTCCCCCAAATCTTCTGTTCACATGTTTCACTTGGACATTTGTATGCAGTGTGTCATGTTTTATGTGATGTTTGTCCAGTGTCTGCACCAGCAGCTGGAGGTGATCCCAGGTTATGAGGAGCTGCTGGCTGATATTGTCAACATATCTGTGGATTACTACGAGAACAAGATGTACCTGACCCCCAGTGAGAAACACATGCTGCTAAAGGTGAGCGCATCCATTCCTGCTGAAGCTTTTTAGACTCGGCTGAAAGAGAGCTTCACAGATGAAGGCATGGCTCTGTGTTTCAGGTCATGGGTTTTGGTCTATACTTGATGGATGGAAATGTCAGCAACATCTACAAACTGGATGCAAAGAAAAGGATAAACCTTAGCAAAATCGACAAGTTCTTTAAGGTGAAGACAAACTTTCTGGTTCTCTTGAAAACTTACTTTTTTTTTTAGTTCTCTGATTGTAACATTTGTTTTGGTTGCCTTCACAGCTTCAGGTCGTGCCCCTGTTTGGAGACATGCAGATTGAGCTGTCACGCTACATAGAAACAAGTGCCCACTATGAAGAGAACAAGTCCAAGTGAGTGATTGACTTACTTTATGAATGACACTTGTGAATGACACTTGTAACTACAAGTGCATTGCTTTCTATCTGATACTAGTTCTCTTGTTAGCATTACTTGACTGGTTAATGAAATGTTCAGAAGTTTTGACTCGGTAACTTTTTTTAAAGATAATGATTCTTTTATTCAGTATCAAAAGTTGCATCAAAACTGACAGTAAAGACATTTATGTTTTTATAAAAGATTTCTATTTCAATTAAATACTGTTCTTTTGAACTTTCTATTCATCAAAGAATCCTAAAAAATTGTCACAGTTTCTACAAAAATATTAGGCAGCATAGCTGTTTTCAACATTAATAAAAGTTGGAATAATAGAAAAGTTTATTGAGCAGCAAATCCGCATTTTAGAATGTTTCTGACGGACCACGTGACACTGAAGACTGGAGAAATGGCTGCGGAAAATTCAGCTTTGACTTCATAGGAATAATTAATTTTTTATATATATTAAAATAGAAAACAGTTATTTTAAATTGTAATAATATTACAAAATATTACTGTATTTTTAATCATAAGAGACTTCTTTCAAAACGTGTACATCTTTTTAATAGTGTCTTTTCTCTCTCTCTCTCTCTCTCCCTCTCTCTCTCTCTCTCTCTCTCTCTCTCTCTCTCAGGTGGACCTGCACTCAGAGCAGCATCAGTCCACAGTATAACCTTTGCGAGCAGATGGTGCAGATCAGAGACGACCACATCCGCTTCATCTCTGAGCTGGCGCGCTACAGTAACAGTGAGGTGGTGACTGGATCAGGGCTGGACAGTCAGAAGTCTGATGAAGAATACAAGGAGCTTTTCGACTTGGCACTCAGAGGACTGCAGCTTCTGTCCAAGTGGAGCACTCATGTCATGGAAGTGGTATGTCTGAGATCATTTAAACAGTTTGCAGCATTCCACTTCTCTATCTATCTTGCATTTAAACTGTCTTCTCGTCATCTAGTACTCTTGGAAACTAGTCCACCCGACTGATAAGTTCTGCAATAAGGACTGTCCTGGCACAGCTGAGGAGTATGAACGCGCCACACGCTACAACTACACCAGTGAGGAGAAGTTTGCCTTGGTGGAGGTCATTGCTATGATCAAGGGTCTTCAGGTTCTGATGGGACGGATGGAGAGTGTGTTCAACCAGGCCATCAGGAACACAATCTACTCTGCCCTGCAGGACTTTGCACAAGTGACCCTTAGAGAGCCACTCAGACAGGCTGTGCGCAAGAAAAAGAACGTCCTCATTAGGTAAGATGTACACCACATAAAAAATACATACTTTTTTGGACATTATTTATCTCCTTGCTTCCTTGTAGTGTACTTCAGGCAATTCGTAAAACCATCTGTGATTGGGAAGGGGGAAGAGAACCTCCTAATGACCCCTGTCTGAGGGGAGAGAAGGACCCCAAAGGAGGATTTGACATCAAAGTTCCTCGTCGCGCTGTTGGCCCCTCAAGCACACAGGTCAGTCAAATTGTGTTTGCAACATAGATGATATTTAATGCTATTTGTAAAGTTTGTATCTGAGTAGTATCTGCTCCTCCCGGTCCTGTAGCTCTACATGGTACGCACCATGCTGGAGTCTCTTATCGCTGATAAAAGTGGCTCTAAGAAGACTCTTCGCAGCAGTCTGGATGGCCCCATCGTTCAGGCCATAGAGGACTTCCACAAGCAGTCCTTCTTCTTCACCCATCTCCTGAACTTTAGTGGTGAGACAACAGCAACAGTTTTCTGTATTGCAACTGCATCATCTTTATATGAAAAGTGCATATGCTCCGGGTGTGTGTTCACAGTGTGTGTGTGTTCACAGTGTGTGTGTGTGTTCACTACTGTGTGTGTGCACTTGGATGCAGAGCACAAATTCCGAGTATGGGTCACCATACTTGGCCACACGTCACTTCACTTTCACTTTCATATTCATAGTTTTCACAGCAACAGAATAGACTGAAAAATGTTGCAGTCCTTTCATGATGTTCTCATTCTTTCCTGACTGGCTGTCAGAGGCCCTGCAGCAGTGCTGTGATCTGTCCCAACTATGGTTCCGAGAGTTCTTTCTGGAGCTCACCATGGGCCGTCGCATTCAGTTCCCCATTGAGATGTCCATGCCCTGGATCCTCACCGACCACATTCTGGAGACCAAAGAGCCCTCCATGATGGAGTATGTGCCACATACACAAAGTTTATACTGGGTATTAAGCTACACTAGCGTTCCAAATTTTGGAGTCAGTCTTCTATTTATTCAGAATGGATGTGTTAAATTAATCGTATATATCAGTGTCCATAAAAATATTAAGCACCACAACTGTTTTCAAGATTGACAATAATAAAATGTTTCTTGAGCACCATTTTAGCATATTAGAAGATTGAGACATTGAAGATTCAGCTTTGCTGTCACGGGAAAATTTTTTATTTTAAAATATATTCAAATAGTAAACCGTTATTTTAAATTGTAACCATAGCATGAGAGACTTATAAGAGAAAATCTTACCTTCCCCAAACTTTTGAACAGTAGTGTATATAAACACTAATTGTGTCTGTCAGATTATAGCATTATTAGAATCGTTTTTTTTTTTCACCCTCAGATATGTGTTGTATCCGTTGGACCTTTATAATGATAGTGGTTATTATGCCCTCACCAAATTCAAGAAGCAGTTCCTCTATGATGAGATAGAGGCCGAGGTAGAGTGTTTATCTACTTATTTATTATCAACTTGTTCATTATTATCTTCCATTCAAAGGTATCTTAAGTAAAAACTGAAGCAATCTCTTTTTCATTTTAGGTCAACCTGTGTTTCGATCAGTTTGTGTACAAGTTAGCTGACCAGATATTTGCCTACTACAAAGCAATGGCTGGAAGGTAACAATATCCATCTTATCCAGTCTCATCTTAAATGTTTCTCAAGCTCAACTTCAGAGGTCAAAACAAAGAAATTATTCTGCTATAGATTGTATGTTTCTTTCTCTTCCTCACAGTGTCCTCCTAGACAAACGCTTCCGTGCGGAGTGTAAGAACTATGGTGTGATCATTCCATACCCGCCTTCAAACCGCTATGAGACACTGCTCAAACAGAGACATGTACAGGTGTGACACTACACCAATTACTAATTAGAATGGGCAACTCTGTTTTAAAGGGTTAGTTCACCCAAAAATGAAAATTCTGTCATTAATTACTCACCCTCATGTCGTTCCACACCCCTAAGTCCTTCGTTCATCTTCAGAACACAAATTAAGATATTTTTGATCAAATCCAATGGCTCAGAGAGGCCTCCATTGACGGCAACGCCACCCAAACTCTCAAGATCCACTAGGTACTAAAGACGTCGTTAAAACAGTCGACGTGACTACAGTAGTTCTACAATAATTCTAGGAAGTGACGAGAATACTTTGTGCGCAAAAACAAAACAAAATAACTTTATTCAGCAATCTCTTCTCTTCCCTGTCATTATCCTTCCCTATCTAACAACATGTTTGTGTTTTGTTAGCTGTTGGGTCGCTCCATTGACTTGAACAGATTGATAACCCAGAGGATCTCAGCAGCCATGTACAAATCCCTGGATCAGGCCATCAGCCGCTTTGAGAGCGAGGACCTCACCTCCATAGTGGTGAGATGCTTGTGCTTCTGACTGTTTTGGTATTTGTTGTCCTCATAATCTCTGTTTCTTCAGCATTACAAACATGCAATTTTCTTACCCATTTGGACATCTTAATATTTAATAATCTTGATTTAGAAATTCAAAGACTCTAAGAACTTTGAACTATTCACTAAACTGAAATTGTTTTGGTCATGTGTGTTTCAGGAGCTTGAATGGCTGATGGAAATCAACAGGTTGACTCATCGCCTGCTCTCGAAGCACATGACCCTGGACAGTTTTGACGCCATGTTCCGTGAGGCCAATCACAACGTGTCTGCTCCATACGGCCGCATCACACTGCATGTCTTCTGGGAACTCAACTTTGACTTCTTACCAAACTACTGTTACAATGGCTCCACCAACAGGTTGGTAAACATAAGTTGTAGATATAGATCCGTACTAATGTGGTTTATTATAGATGACAATGTTGACAAAAGTGTTAAATCTCATGGAACAGGTTTGTGCGGACAGCCATTCCCTTTACCCAGGAGCCTCAGAGGGACAAACCTGCCAATGTCCAGCCTTACTACTTGTATGGCTCCAAGGTCTGTAAGCAGCATAATTAGTTTGTGATACCGAACCTAAGACTTGAATGTGTTACATACAGTGTGCTAGAGAATATTGATGTCTATTTTTAAACATCTCGCTCTGTTTTTCAGCCTCTGAACATTGCTTACTCCCACATCTACAGTTCCTACAGGAATTTTGTGGGTCCTCCACACTTCAAAACAATATGCCGTCTTCTTGGTTACCAGGGCATCGCTGTGGTGATGGAGGAGCTGCTCAAGATTGTCAAGAGCTTGGTATTTTGTCTCTCTGCTATGTGTACATGTAGTTTCTCTTTCATGCACTCCTCCAATTTTGTTTCATCACTTGTCCTGTCCATCTGTCTCTTCCAGTTGCAAGGCACCATCCTGCAGTATGTGAAAACCCTCATAGAGGTGATGCCCAAGATCTGCCGTCTCCCTCGTCATGAGTACGGATCACCAGGTGAGATCAGAGCTAGTAACACTCTAGTTGTGTCACAGTCTAATAATGAGTACAGAGACTAAAGGTATTAGATATTATATTATATTCTGATGCAGTATTCATCACTATCAGAGACCCTCCACTTCCCCCAACTCCACCTGTCTTAATCTGCTACGGGATTTATGTATGCCCTATTCATGCAGCAGCCTATCTTACATGCATCCAACAGTGTGTAAACAGAATAAATACAAAGAATAGGATGAAAAAAAAAAATTTAAATTAAAAAAACCATTATATGCTCTGTAAGCCTCTAAAAATGGATAAAAATGTCTACCAAATGCATGAATATAAATGTAATTATATTAGAGTTGTCAATTTAATTTAATTTAGTAGAATGAATGAATTAAAACAATTTGTATAATACTTTGTAAAACATTTTATAGCTTGTTAAAGTTAAGAAGACTGTAACTTAAGGATATGAATGTCAGATTCTAGCCTGGAGTGTTTTTTTAAGTTATCTAATGTGGAACGCTTCTCAGGCATCTTGGAGTTCTTCCACCATCAGCTGAAGGACATCATTGAGTACGCTGAGCTCAAGACAGATGTGTTTCAGAGTCTGAGGGAGGTGGGCAACGCTATCCTCTTCTGTCTGCTCATCGAGCAAGCTCTGGTGAGACCCCCTCTGACTTAATTTTCCTATTTGCATGACTTAGTCCTATTTAAGTAATATAAAACCTCATCTCAAAGCTGATTTCTATTTTAGCTTTAATCTTTCAGACCTGCCAACCTGTACACATTTTGTGTAACCGGTACGCATTTTGACCTCAAAGTACACTGGTAAGATTTGCGATTCCAAACTACACAAAAATCTGGCGCAACTTTTGTGTTCAATGAGGCAACTAAAGTAGAGAGTAGGCCTGGGCGATAAAACGGTATTGATATTTATCGACGGTACACCTTCATCGATAACGATATAAAAATGTTCGATATAGGCACGTACTATGAGTGACGCAGAAAGCAAACATGAACACATGCTGAATTGAGTGCTGTGCCTGCCTGTGATGAGGAGATTGTGAATAAAAAAAATTAATATTAGTCGAATTTAAAATAAACATTTGCATTTGAATGCAAAAATGGTACAATCGAATGTTAGGAGTGTGTCAGGGAGCGTCATCAGTGTGCGCGAGATGCGGTGATGATGATGTAAGTGACGTTGCATTTTAATATTTTGTTAGTCTAGCCCAAGAGACGCGCCGCTGCTGTATTATTCGTTCAAAATATTAGAGAAACCGTGTTGGGGGTAACGCATTACTTTTTAATCTACAAGAGAATATCTGAGTTACTTTTTCAAATAAGTAACGCAAGTTACTTTTTTTCCAATTTATTGATTGACAGCTCTCCTGTCCCCATATTGAGAGAAATCAGAAGATGTTACTGTAGTTCTAAAATAAATATGAATATGCATTAATTCATCTCACTCAAAAAAAAAAGAAACACAGATTCAGTATTTCTAAAAATAAATAAAAATAATGCAACTCAAAATATGATGCAACCCTGCCATAATTAAATGTTAAACAACACAAATATCCTTTATGTATTTAATCCCATTCTATTTGCTTCTGACCTTCGATGATCCAGTTCAACCATACTAATAAGCACAAATTACCCTAGACAAACTTTTGTGTCTTTTTTTTATTGCTGAAGTGTGTTGAAATTTCTTCTTCTGCATTCTACTGTACGGACGTAAATTGACTTTCCCTTCAGCCTGAGGCTTATTCATTTCACTTTTGGTGTGAAAGGCTTTTATATTTGCCAAAAATATAACTTTTTTTTTATTTTACAAACAAACAAGCAAGTCCTGTCCAGATTTAAAAAGTAACGTAATGCATTACATTCCATAAAGAGTAACTAAGTAACGGAATTAGTTACTTTTTTATGGAGTAACGCAATATTGTAATGCATTACTTTTAAAAGTAACTTGCTGTAGAGAAATATAGTAGCTCAATGCGTAGAAGATCTTGATTAGGTTAAAACCGAAAACCAAGCCATTCACACAGAACACATATTCAGCACATATTTAGACGGACAAATATGACTGCTGCACTCGCGTCTCATGCAAGAGATGCAAAGAAAGTCATGCAAAGTTAAAACAGTTTTAACGTTTAGAAAACTCGGCGCGAATTTGTCAAGTCAAGTCAAGTCTGCTTTATTGTCAATTCTTCCACATGTACAGCACATACACACAGAGAATTGAAATTGCGTTACTCTCAGACCCTTGGTGCATACAGATAACATAAATACAGATAGGTACAGATTAAATACAAAATACAACTATACAAATATACAAATAAGGTAAAATGTCTTAGAAACAAATAGACGCGACGAATACATACAAAAACACTGCGACTCACAAGACAAAAAACACGAAAACACCTTTCTGTCGGGAGAGAGAGAAGCCGCAACGTGTGAACGCGCCGCCATCTTGGAAACATCATTTGTGAAGGTTTATTTCATTTCACTGCGTCTCATATGTTTTTAAATGCAATCTGTGTGATTGGCGATTTGGCTTTTTGTATTAGGCTAAGCAGTGCATTAACACATGATGCTGTTTTGTTCATAATTGTTTATGCCATTTACAAAATTATATTTGATTTCTGTATGTTAATTTAGACGTTATGCACGTTTTTATAGACAGTTATTTGAATTGACAGTTTAAAGAGCTTCATTATTTTGCTCATTGCACCCTCCTGTGGCCTCGGGAAAGTTTCCTTAAGACTTATTTAATCTGCATATAAAACATAAGAAAGGACTGTTAAAAAATAATATATATATATATATATATATATATATATATATGTCGCAAATTATCTAAAGAGGGAAATGTATATAAATATATACAGATAATTATGATTAGATACAAT